CACACACACACACACACACACACACACACACACACACACACACAGGCTTGTCCACCACCATCACTGCAGCCGCTGCCCTCAGCATGTACTATTTTCCAACTCCAACCCTGGGCAAGATAATAAGATGGCTCGCAGACATTTTGTCAATATTTCTGTCTTGGCTCAGAGCGTCTGCCTCTGCTCTCTGAAAGAGGTGTTGCCGATTTATTTTTTTATTATTATTTATCCTCCTACAGGAGTCTGCTTGACAGCAAGAGTGAACGTGGATGCGAGAGAAGAGGAGCTCACTTAAGCAGAGCAGTTCATTAAAATCAGGCACATGRCGTCTATCAGGGGGGAGGGATTCTGCTAATCAGAGCTCACGGTTGGTCCGGCATCATTAAAAAAACCAAAAAGGAGGGATATTCTTCTCAGCTGCGATCCAGGCCTCTGGAGCAGCAGAGCTGGTTGAAGCCGAGGAGCCGAGCAGATGATTGATTTTCCAGAAGGATGCTTGGAGACACTGCTCTCAGTCTTCCATCTGATTAACATTCCCAGCATTATTCATGTTATGAATATACAAAGAGGCACGAAACAAATAAAAACTGACACGCATCCAGGAGCTGATAAATATTAAATGGAGCACACATGGCTTCATATGTTACCATTTTTTATAATTTGATCATTCATGATGTGGGGCCCTCAGCCAAGGTCTAACAACGAGTTTGAACGGGTTGAGCAGCCAAGTGAGAAAACCAGAAACCTCTCAAAAACTGCTTTAATGTTCTTTTTTTTTTTTTAACTTTTTTATCATAATTGTAAAAGCCAGACTCTTTTCAGAACTGGTGAAGGACCCATCACCTCTCATCCCAGAGTTTTTAACTGAAACGCTGAAATGGATGAACTTAATGCTATTTTAGTTCAACTCAGTCTGATCTCATACAATAACACAAGATGCAACATTCAGGATTTGTTGTAAAGGACTCTCAGCTGCTACTGCATAAAGTATTAGCTCAAYATCTCCAAGTTGGAACCATATTTGTGTTTTTACTAAAGTCAGTTGGTGTACTGGCATCATGAATTGGGTTACAGCAGGGGTGTCAAACTCCAGTCCTCGAGGGCCGCTATCCTGCATGTTTTAGAGGTTTTCCTGCTCCAACACACCTGACTTTGATGGCTGGGTGATAACAGGCTTCTGCACAACTTGAAGAGTTAATTCAATCACTGAATCAGGTGTGTTGGAGCTGGAAAACCTCTAAAACATGCAGGATAGTGGCCCTCGAGGACTGGATCTTGACACCCCTGGGTTACAGGGTCGGAGCCAGAGGGGTGGCCAGGGCAAGTGTCACCCTTGGAATTTTATTGGCCACCTCAGGTGCCACCCCCAAATAACTGACACGTGTATGAGGATCATGGATTTACATCTAGATTTTGTTAAAGATTGCCCTTTGATACCACTGCAGTATATCAATTTTCAGCTGTGTATGTTCAAAAATGGCTGAATTATGGCACTTTGTAGTRGTTAGCTTAATTTMGTAGCTATGATCACACAAAATTTCAGCTCAACATTCCCAAAAACAGCTGAATTATAGCCATTTGGACTTATCTGCTGTGGCCATCTTGAATTTTTAAATCCAAAGTATTTTCTTTATTTGTATGTGCTCCCCTAAAAAACACCTTGGCYACCCTTTGCAAAAAAGTCTGGCTCCACCCCCGTTCGGTTGACWCCTAGATGAACATGCTGCACTTTTTTTTTTCAAGTTTCATTAAAGCCCCTCCAAAAACAAAGACTGCACGATCTACTAGCCTTCAAAATATAGAATGGAGATCAGTCTCAGCTGCTACCACTCCGAATTTTAGGTAAATATTTGTATAATTGACTAAATTATAGTCATTTTTGTGGTTTTGAAGCTCAGTTTGCTGTGGCAGCCATCTTGAATCAGACTTACACCCAAAGTTAATCTAGATATTTAGCCAAAGATTACTTTTTGAAAATTTCTTTAAATTCTGTCCAGTAAGTCATGAGATATTTTGCTAACAATAATAATTTAATTATGCTTTCAACCATTTACTTTTAAGCTTTATATTGATAATTTGCATCRTATTAAAGGATTTATGTCTGCACTCAAGCAGGACTCAGATGGTTCTGTTTCAGTCAGGTTGTTAGAGAACTGTTAGAAAAACACAGGCTGAAACTGCTTAACAGAGAAACGTTGGTGTTTTTTTCCTGCGGACTGGCCTTTGCTTGTTTTTGGAAACTTGTCCACCTTGTGTTTCCATCATTAGGATGTTGATACGACCTCTCCTCATCTCCTCCACCTGCTGAATCAAGTCATGATCAAGAGAACGCCCTGAGCTGTGGAGGTTCTGAGTGAGGGAAGTGGTCCAGGTCAGAAACGTTTCCTTGCTGCAGTTTGTTGTTATTATTTAGATGAATTTGACAGAAACAGAATCGGACAGAAAACATTTTTTGAACTCTGAACAAAATCTGAAGTGTTTGTAGAAATAAAGTGAAACTAAATTTAAATATTTGTAGGACTCTGGCTTTACTTTTTTCTACAGTTGTTTAATTGTTTTTTCTTTCACACAATTTTCACAAACACCTCAGATATTTCACAAAATAAAACTAAAGTAWTTTTTTCAAATAAAATTTTAGTGTTAGTACTAATGCATCATATTTTGGCTCAATATTTCATTTTTGTGTTTAAAAGCTCCCTTAGCAAAAAGTAGCACATACCCATTAAGTGTACTAATGTTAAACTAAAAATAAGAGTATACTTCTAGTTTTATTTTCATGTACTCATCTGAGATATAGCCAAGTTTATCTTATACTATACTTGGCTTGTAYTAAAAGTATACTAAAGGTTTAGGTGTACTTAGTTTATACTAATGTTTAAACTTCAGCAGTACAGTTTTCATACAGACTGGTACATTTGTTGTATATTTCAAGATTAAACTAAAGGTATACTTAGAAGATTACTTTCAGTATACGTCTGAGTATACTTTTGTAAACTTATTGTGGGCCAATTTAGTCCTAGAAATATGTTTGTTATTCATCTGCTAGTATACTTATATCAGTGTACATGGTAAATAAAAGTACACTTAGGGAAATACATTTTATATACTTTAGTATACCTAATGACATGTAGCTAAAGTATACTTCTTTTTGGTAAATTCATAAACTTAAAARACATTATAACAGTATACTTCAATTACAATTTTTACAAACATTTTTAAAAGTCCCACATTAGTACGAATGAGTATTAAATTTGTTTACTTTCTAGTACACTACAAGTACATGGCRCCAAGTATACTTGMTATACTTAAACGTTTACTCAAGTATACTTAAWAAAATGAACTTCAAGTATATTACTTTTTGCTAAGGTCTGGGGTAGCCTTCTTTTTTTCTTGTGACTGAATCAATATTTTGTAACCTGAGACATTTTGCTAACAGACAATAAAATAAATCTCTAAGTTTTTGCATGAACAAGTATTGAGACTGGCATTTTTAATGGTCTTTGCCCCTCTTGAAAAGTGTTTAGCTCAATAATCGAGTCAGAATTGAAGTATTTCTGGAAACTGAGGTCAGTCAAAGAGTTATCTGCAACAGGTAAGATAATAACTCTTTATAACCTTTCTGCAGAGCCTCACTTCAWASTATTAAGACTCTCCCTTTAGGCATGTCAAACATGCTTCTCAGGCTTCAGGAAAGTTGCTCCTCTCTGAGCAGCGCTGAGTAAAAAGTGTTTCCTGCCCAGATCTGTTGAACGTGGATCTCAGAAGTTGTTAGCCAAAAGTCCGGGGCTGTTACCTTTGAATCATTAAGTAAGGAGTGAGTGTTTGAAGCTCCTTGATATAATGATCCTTGGCAACTCTGAGAGTTCAAAGTAAATTGGCAAAGGTAAAAAAAGAAAAGAAATAAGCCTTTTCTGCCACAGAACAAAATAGAGAAATCAGCCAGCTATGTTTAATAGAATTTTCATCAGTGCTCAACCAGTCTCTCCAATGGCTTATCTAAGATAATGGCTGCACAGGTTCATTACCTCATTGTCAAATTAACTGTCTCTTTCTCCTCCAGGCAGATTGGATAGTGATTACAGATCCAACCAAAAGAAGGCTCCGCTGTTCTCTTTGTGGAACCGGGACAGAACCACGGTGACAGCRAAATTAGTCTATTTCATCTGCAGACCTCTGTCAGCTGACCTGCTCACTTCAGAGAGAAAAAACTCACAGAAGTGGTCCAAGATGATGTGGCAGCGTTCTTTTCTTTTCTTTTCTTATTATCTCTTTGTGCTTCTTGAAGTGTTGAAAATTTGATGAAAGAACAAAACAAAAACAAACYGAGTGAGTTTACTGGAGTTTTAAGTCAAAATGTTTCACAGACAAACTTCCAGGCTCATAAGAGCCACAAACACGTTTAATCTTTTGAGATAAAATGTTGAGTCAGCTTATTTTCCTATTTATAGTGTCCTCTGCATGGTTTTTGCAAATCATCTCTGCTATAGGTCGAAATGTTCGGCTACTTTGTGAACTATTTAGCTAAATTTACAAAAATAAAAAATAAAGCAAGACAATCTTTTCATTTCTTTTAAAAATGTCTGAAATTTCCTTCAGCTAGATACACCACATTAGCTTTTTTCTGCTTTATTGCTATTTTTTAACTTTTAACTACGATTCGGATGATTGTAGCTTCAAGCAACTGTTTTGTCAATTTTAGTTGTTAGTGCTGCTTTTATGAATTTATCCCTTTTATCACAGATATGTATTGATTTGTTAAGTATTTTCTGATCTTGGACGAAATATATAGAGAATGGAAACCGACATAATTAGAAATAAAAGCAGAAATAAAGAAATGATCTAAAAAATAAATAAATAAATAAATAAATACACCTAAAATGCACCAATTAATTTAAAAAAGGAGAACTTTACCTCATGTTTTATCATTTAATTGACCTTCATTTTAGTTTCAATAAATTATATATATTAGCACAATTAACCCCAAACAGGGGGACATGTACCCGTGGGGGTACGCGAGCATATTACAGGGAGTACGTGAAAAAAATTCCAGGTGTGTAAAAAATAAATAAATAAAAATAGGACTGAGATATATAGGGCCCTATGATTTTTGCAGTGCATAAACTGCAGATGGAATCTGAATTAACACTAAATGGAATCCAGTATAAAACATGTAATCTCATGGAATTTGCTCATTTGGGTGAGCTTCTGACGTATTTTGGACGCTGCTGTTTTCTGCACCTGCCATTACCTGCTTTATTTATTCAATTATTCACTTTCAAGGCAACATTTTTTTGCTTTGTTTAATTTGTGTTGAAAAATAAAATGCCTGAGAATTAAACATTCTAGGGGTTAAATAAATCATTTCCATTTAATAATCACTTGTTGTACAAAATGGCTCAGTGGGTACACAAGTCTGAAAACTTTGGGAACCACTAGTCTAAAGTCCTGAATCATGCCATCACTTTCAGGACCTKGGACAGTTCCTTCAGTCATTCACACTGTATAAAGTCCTGAAACATTTCAGCACTTTCAGGACCTTGGACAGTTCATTCAGACCTTCACACTGTCTAAAGTCCTGAAACATTTCAGCACTTTCAGGACCTTGGACAGTTCCTGCAGCATTCACAATGTCTAAAGTCCTTAAACATTTAATCACTTTCAGGACCTTGGACAGTTCCTTCAGTCATTCACACTGTTTAATGTCCTGAAACATTTAAACACTTTCAGGACCTTGGACAGTTCCTTCAGTCCTTCAAACTGTTTAATGTCCTGAAACATTTCAACACTTTCAGGACCTTGGACAGTTCCTTCAGTCATTCACACTGTATAAAGTCCAAAAACATTTCAGCACTTTCAGGACATTGGACAGTTCCTTCAGTCATTCACACTGTATAAAGTCCAGAAACATTTCAGCACTTTCAGGACATTGGACAGTTCCTTCAGCATTCACAATGTCTAAAGTCCTGAAACACTTCATCACTTTCAGGACCTTGGAC